GGATCCTTGGATGGCCTAGATCCGACATAGTCGGTTCGACGCGCTTTCCACGGGCCATGGGCCGAGAGCTCATTAAGTCGTGGAGAGGGTCGGTGTCGTGCCCGACTCGCACGTAACACCAGGTAGTAAAAACATGGTGCCAGATTCGGTCCCCATAATGTTTCTTAGGTTAATACGTGTGAAACCTCAGCAGGAAGGAAGGGAGGGAGGGAGAGATGTCACACCGCTAATCTCTAATCATTGTTTCACTGTCCCACTCAGCTGACGTAACATCTAATAACGTTGGAGACAGGAGTTCAGATTTGGTCTGGAAAGATTACGTTCATATATGCGAAACGATGAAATAGGCGCTTAACACTTCCATTTTTGAACAACTTCTATGCTAACCGAAGGTATCACGAGATCTCAGAGTGGAAATGTAGTTAACACTAAAATCACAGATGGTGCAAGGTAGCACTCTGCAGTGAATTAGGGCACCAAAAACTATGAACTCAGGAGATTTCTGAAATTTCACTTCTATTTCTTCATAATTATTGTACGGCAACGACATATGAAGTATGCCATTTAATACAATACTGAATATAATTCGACACAGCTGTCGATATAATAGGAACATCGGCCACGTAGGTATTTAGAAGAATCTTTTTTACCGACGTGGATCAAATTTTTCGACGTGTTTTACTTCACCTTAAGGTGATATGAAAGTGTGATATATATGTACCAAAAAGTCAAAATATTTATAAATCTTTTCTCCAGACTGGGTTTACCAAATTATCTGAAACTTTAACAAGTGATTATGGAGGTTCCAAGAAAGAACGCACTGCCGGTGAAATTCCATGTTTCAAAGAAAAAATATCTTTTCTTGGTTCTTGTCCGAGATAAATACAACATTTTTTTCAAAAAATGAAATTGCACAAGCAGCGCGTTCTTCCTTAGAGCCTCCATAATCACTTGTTAAAGTTTCAGATAATTCGGTGTACTCAATTTGGAGAAAAGTCATGTAAATATTTTGACTTTTTGGTATTTATATATGACACTTTTATATCACCTTAAGGTGAAATAAAACACTTTGAGAAATTTAATTCACGTCGGTAAAAAAGATTCTTCTAAATACCTACGTTGCCGACGTTCCTATTATATCGATAGCTGTGTCCAATTATATTTAGTATTATATTAAATGGCAGACTTCATATGTCGTTGCCATACAATAATTATGAAGAAATCGAAGTGAAATTTCAGAAATCTCCTGAGTGCATGGTTTTTGATGCTCTAATTGACCGCAGAGTGCTACCTTGCACCATCTGTGATTTTAGTGTTAGCTACATTTCCTCTCTGAGATCTCGTGATACCTTCGGCTAACATAGAAGCGCATAAGACACTTTAACTGCCTTTATTCCGTTCAAATGTGGGTTTCGCGATTACTAGAGTGTTCTAAATCGTTATACAATTGTCCTGTCACTTTTGTTTTTCATATTAGAGCCTTCAATAATTGTATGTCGATCGAAATATGAGAGCCTGCAGAATTAGAAATTTAATATTGAATTGTATATTAATAGCCGTCTGTAAAGAAAAAATGCAGTCGAATGTTGCAAATACGTGCTTATTTTTCCTTATTATTGCAAGATAGAGTACTTTATCCTGTTTTCGTTTAGGTCGATCTCCTTCAGTCCTAACACATATTGAACTCTCAGTTCAAAGAATAATTGTAAAAAATAACAAGTTGTTCCATTCTGTACACACCAAATAAACATCTAACTCGTCCGATTCTTCCAACACTTAGGTCGATTCGGCTATATTTAGCAATTTTTTATGAGATCTGGCAAGTTATCACATGATATGGTGTCGTGCAGAGTTAACTGTCAGTGCGTCTGCGCGTCGTCCATGCCAAATTTAAGTTCAACTACTTTCATTTCTTAGCGTAGGTGGCGGTAAAAATATTGTAAAAGACATTTCGCATTAGAGTATCAGCCCGCTGGTACTTAGGGAAAAAGTACGAAAGTGTAGGCGAAAACTGAGGTAATCCAATAAATGGAATTCGACTCTATTACCTAGAATGTCGGCTCAATGTACCATATGAGTCTAGTATTCGTTGGCTTCTTCTATTCGACACCCTTCGACATCTGTCGGATTTAGTTCAAACTAAATTTTCTCTCTGACACCTCATGGACTACACATTACCACCATGTTAGTATGGATGCTCATAAAACACTTCTTTTGCCTTTATTACATTCAGGTATCGAACACCCTTAAGGAATCATTTGCGGCCTAAACTTCTTAGCGCAACCCTATACCTTTTCTCGGATATTTTACCAAATAAAAATCACCTCAGATGTTGATGGGTAGTGACGACGCGACGCCGACCAAATCCGTCAAGACTATTTCTCTCTGTGATACATACTAAAGTGTTACAAGGCGTTGAAAGTTAGTTGAGAGCAGAACAGTACAAAAATCGAAGTCAAAAATGTCTCTCAACGTTCTGACACATTTTGAAATGCATCACGACGACAGTCATGATGACTTGAATCGGCGTCGCAATCATACGACTATAATAGTCGCATATGATGTACAAAATGCGTACATATAAGCAATGCGCATACGCACACCGTCCATTTTTAATTCTCATTCGACTCAATTTCCAGGAAAAAACGTAGGTAGCAAACTACGCTAAGGGACCAACTTCTACTAATACGGTAGTGTCCACTCCCTGATCATGTCCAAACGCGCGTTTCTCGATTACCAGAGTATCCTAAATTGTTGTAAAGTGGTCCTAGGACATTTGTTTCTCACATTGGAGGCCAAACTTTACTAACGTGGTAGTGTCCACCTCCTAATTACATTCAAATGCACGTTTCCCGACTATTAAAGTATCCTAAATTGTTGCACAGATGTTTCTCACATCGGAACTTTTAACAATTGTATATTGATCGAAGCGCGAGAGTGCGGCGTCCATTTTGTTTTTAGCCTAGACAAGTCAAAAACAATTTTTTCCAAAATCTGAATCTTGAAAACATCGTGATATTTCAGGTGTTCACATGCCATATGCTAAAATTTCAGCTACTTCAGTTAAATACCCTTCGAAAAAGGTGTCTTGTTCGAATCAACCGATTCGAGGCGGGTTTTATTTTATCTTAAGAACGAATTTATGTAATTTCTTTATAAAATATTATGAAGAAGCAAACTGCAGTCGCATACAAATGCATCCTTATCAAGTGGATCGACAACTCTTAAGGTGAAGTGAAACACGTCGAGGAACTTGGTCGACGTCGATAAAGAAGATTTTTCTAAATGCCTACGCTGTCGACGTTCGTTTTTATATCGACAGCTGTGTCGAATTATATTGGGTATTGTACCAAATGGCATACTCCACCTGTCGTTTTCGTACAATATATATCAAGAAATCGAAGTAAAATTCCAGAAATCCTCTGGATTCATGCTTTCTGGGGTCCTAATTGACTGCAGAGGGACCCCCTGCGCTATCTGTGATTTCCAGGTCAATTAAATCTTCACTCCGAGACCTCGTATTACCATCGTTTTGGCATAGAAGCGCATACAACACTTTTTTTACCTTTATCCCGTTCAAATGCGAGTTTATCGATTACCAGAGTGTTCTAAATTGCCGTAAAATTGTCTTGACCCTTTCGATTCTCATATCAGAGCCTTCGATAATAGTATATCGATCGAAATATGAGAGCTCGACGCCATTTTGGTTTTGGTCTGGGCTGAGTTAAAAAATTTTTTTGAAAAATCCAAATTTTCAATGTGTCAGGACAATTCTTAGATGATCATGAGTCATGTGTCAAAGTTTCGGACAGTTTGGTCCAATACCCTTAAAAAAAAGTGTTGTATTCAAATCGACTGATTTGAAGGGTGTTTCACTTCACCTTAAAGGAATAGACTGGTATAATAGAACCATTCCGAATTACAGAAATTGACCAAAAGTGTAGTGTTGCTTGACAATAGTGACGTTAACATACCCCTATTATAGGGCTATTTAGTGCACGAACAGAAACCCAGAGACGAAACCGAAAAGTATAACTTCAAAAATTCAGCTGCTAAATATTTTTTTATCTCGAGTTTAGAAGAACTATGTAAGATATTTCTCTGATGATGTAGTGTTACAGGATTATATTATGCTCCAGTTGCGAAATAATATTATTAAATTACAAGCATTGGTTTACAATCAACTTGTTCGGCTGAGATACAATGATGTGTTTCAACATATATGGTACAAGAACGGATTTTTAGATAGGAGACTGAGAGAACTTGAAAATACAGTAGAATTCGCAATCGAAGAAAATACAAAAATAAGATGTTTGTATTGTTATAATATATAAATTGTCACGTGTTCACAATACAAAATGCCACTATATTTGAAATCTTCATTTCACAAGGGGTAAAAAATTATGACATCATCGGTTAAGTGCATCCTCGTCTTATGCAGAATTTAAGCTGAATTTCATTTAAAACTACAAATACTAATTTCTCGAAATAAAAAAAATTATTTTTTAACTCAACTTTCAAATGCGATTTCGATTCCTTGAACTTAATTTAAACAGCTACAAAAAAACACGTCTCTTGTTATCTATGTACTATCACATATATCAAAACGAAAAATATCGGAAATGGGCAGTTGAAAAACATGATTTGTTATATGAAGATGTAATGTGATGAATAAACAGAACGATGAACATTTTAAGTTCATACGACGTTTAATATTCTTAAATGTACAAATGTTCATACTTCGTTTCAATAAAAAAAACACTGATGCCGAAAGCATGAAGTAAACTTAAGAAATTAAAGAACCTTTTCAAAAAACCATCGGAATCGTTTGTAAGTGAAGCCTCCCCAAGAATAACAGTGTGAAATGCAAATAATCGCAAATTAAATTATTAATAAAATATTAGTAACGTAGGAAGCTCCGTGTTTGAGTGACAATTTGCTTAGCAACCGATCACCAGCAAGTATATAACTAATGTGCATTGGTTTTCCTTTCATTTCAGTTTTAGAACGTCCTACTTCTCAAATGTCCTACCTTGAACATTTTTTAAAAGAAACGGCAAGTACCACACGTCATGGTAGTGTGGACAGCGTCGAAGGCGACATCGAGGACAACCGTGCACCGAGTATCGCAAGCAGCAAAAGTAATTTATCCGAGTTCAGCATCGTGAGTATTTTCCTAATTGATTTAGCGCTGTTTGATTATTATTATCAAAGTTATAAGACGCCACGGTCTGTCTTAAATATAGTACCTAACGTTTAGGAAAACAGCCGGTAATTATGATAATTTGAACTTGGGAGTGATCAATACGTCACTGTGTTTGCATATCTTGCTCGGCAAACCTCGAGGATGACTTATGAACTCGTGTTTCGTCGAGCCAGTACACCGTGGGTCAAACTACCGATCTAACGTCCACAAAGTCAGGATTGACCTACCATTATTTCTTGACGCAAGTATGCGAGATGTACTGTTTATAAACATTACTTTATGATCAAAAGAACTTAGTTTTAAAAGCATTATTATTCCAACACAGAAAAAATTGATGGAACTCAAAAAGCGGATACTAACAAAACAATACTTTTCAGATTTTAAGTATTCCTAACTTAAATATTTTTTATTGACCTTTCTAAATGTTAAGAACTATCTAAGGCCAACACTTCATATGTGGTTCCGCAACTTCAGATAAGGTGGTACAATCCTGTGGAGGCTATACATTCGACATTGCACTAATTAGAACATTATTAATATTTGAATACTTTATATTGTACAACATCGATGGTTTTTACATTATTACACTTTTTTACATAATCACCTGGCGCATTCAGGATGAACTTTTTTGATTCTCCTGCAAACTTCGGGTGATATTATTGATCAAATGATTTCTGTTAAGATGAAATGAAACACGTCGAGAAATTTGATCGACACCGTTAAAAAGGATGCTTCTAAATACCTACGTAACCGACGTTCGTATTTGTATTTACAGCTTTTTCGAATTATACTAGTTATCGTACTAAATAACATGCTCCATATGTCGTTTCCGTACAATAGTTATAAAGAAATCGAAGTAAAACTACATAAATCCCCTGGATTCACGATTTTTGTTCATTGTTTGTCACAATTGACTGTAGATATGGGATATTGCGTCATCTTAATGGTGAATTTATGCCATATGTTCGTGTCTGGTAGGGATAGCGAATACTCGGGTTAACAACGAATACAGCGTTTTATTTTACTACGAGATACACGCGTACTCAATTTCTCGCAGATGCCAACTTCCGGTTCAGTCTTTGTTAAAGAAGAAGTCCCTAGTTACTAGTTATTTATTAACTAGCGCCTTAAGCGCTCCTCGCGGGAGGCCCGAAAGTTGGCGGAGGAGCAGCCTTTTTCAGTGATCGCAACGCCGCGGTACGGGCATCGCTGGAAGCGGTGGCGAAGCGACCCCATAGAGTGCCACCCTACGCCATCTGTCATTTTAGCGTCAACCAAATTTTCTCTCCGAGATCTCGTATTACCTTCGGTTCAACATTGAAGCACATAGGACACTTTTTCTGCCTTTATTCCGTTCAAATGAGAGTTTCTAGCTTACTGGAATATTTTAAATCGTTATACAATTGTCCTGTCACTTTTATTTTTCATATTAGAGCCTTCAATAATTGTATATCGACCGAAATATGAAAGCTCAATGCCATTTTGGCTCCGGTCTAGGCTAAGTAAAAATAATTTTGTTCGAACATCCAAATTTTGAAAGTGCCAGGACAATTCTTAAGTGATCACGAGTCATATGTCAAAGGTTCAGACAGTTAGGTCCTATAGCCTTAAAAAAAGGCTTATTCGAATCGACTAATTTGATGGAGGTTTCACTTTACCTTAATCACATAAAAGATCAACACCTTTGGTGTTAAAAAACCTGATGCCAAATATACCTACGTTCAAATTCATTCACATAAAACCTACTCTTAAGAAACTGGCTCATGAACTAAATATCGTATGACAAAAATAAATAAAATCGTTGCAATTAAAAAAGAATGCCGCTAATTTACATGAAATTGATATCATTCCATCATTCATTAGAGAAAGCAATGAAATCAATTACTTTTCCCAAATACGTTAATTAATTTTTATGACCGCAAAATGATAGTCAATTCAGTTTATTTCTACCATAATTAAAATAATAACAATTAATTTCACAAACGTAATCAAATCAATATCACATACAATGTACCAAATCTAAATAAAATGGATGGGTGGTACGTACTTGTCCCCCCACAAGAGTAATAAATCCTTTTATCGCATGTATGTGTACCGCTTCTTTAACGCAAAAATTTAAAAAAATTTTAAATGAAACCGTTTTGGCGAGTCTCACTACACGTTTACCTGCAATTTCGCAATAAATGCTTGCAGAAAAATTATCGACAATTCCAGCGCAGTTGGGCTCGCAAAAACTTTCTCATTTTTAATTTGTATTTTATTTTTTCATTTAAGAAGCGGTATACATATGTCATAAAAGGAACCGGTTTTATTACTTTCGTGAAAGGATAAGTACTGTGGTGGTCTGGATTTATTCCGTGCTTCTGCAACGGGATGAATGCTTCGTGGGTTTGACCCTCACGATTTCTGAGAACTGAATTTAATTTAATTTAGAAGGATTTTCTAAATTGGCGAGAGGGTATGGAGAACGTTACGCAATCGAACAGCTGTAGCGCGTCAATATTGTGACTTTCGGGTGGCCTATCGACCGAATACCGGTTCAAGCGAGTTTTTCTGCGATGAGATGTCTCGGCGTCGGACCATTTCGTATGAATTTTGCTATTTAATATTCTCAGAATATTCTGCAATTTTAGGTCTCTTTTATTCAATTAGGTGCAATTCTAATTAGATTAAAGGCGTTTCCGTGACTTATAGCACGAGTGAGAAGAAAAGGAAGCATGAAAAATGACTCTCAAGTGGAACGGCTTATTCCATTAACGGTGCCTTCTATTTAGTCATCATGGAATCGAAAGGATTGGGTTCGTAGATAGTGGTTGATTGGCTTAAACTTTGGATAAATTAATTGTGGAAGGACGTTACTGCCTAATGCCGAGCCTAAGCTTTTATCCCTCTCGTCCTCTAATTCGCGTCGGAGATATGTTTCTGAGCTAAGGGACTAACAATTGTTAATGTAGGTGAGAACGTGTTCTCTTTTTGAAACTCGATTGGAGAAAATCCTAAATATGATAAGAACAGCTGATCAGTCTGAATCTGAATTGGTATTCGTTTTTACCGAACTATTTCTAACCATAAGCCCGCGGACTAAGTCTTGCCGCAAAACTAAAGTTCTTCCTGGAGCCTTGCTCTACAGGGGTTAGTAAAACCTATCCTAGATTATCCAGTCGCGGATATTGACTGGTTTAGGACCGATATGAGGTTCAGAGGTATTCGCGCTTTTATCGCAATGACAAAATACGAAAGGAGATGGTTAGGAAATTATGTTGAAGGAAAGGAGTGATAAGGAGGCGGGATGGTGGCTGTGCCAACCCGTTGGAATTAAGGTTCTGAAAGTAAGCACTCAGGAGCATTCGTCCTGTTCCAGTATTTCAAATCCAACCCCGAGTATTGAGGCGCATTGCTCCGTACTCCGAGGTATTAAATCGAATACTGAAACTCGTTGTCTTTCAATCAGAATCCAGAGTACAAGTATAAATCACGGTGCTTCATGATTAGAAATCCAAAATCGAAGTGGTGTCCGCGGTCTCCGCGCTTGCGGTCCGAGGTTCCTTCTCCTAAAAGCGAATCTATACGGTGCCAGTAACTCATAGAAATCACTAAAACTCAGTATTACTCTTCTTGGGTAAACTGCTACTCCAATAGTGGAGTGGAGTACTCGCCTAAGTTCCAGTGCGAGTTGAGTGAATAGAAAGTAATCCTATTTCTTGGCGCGAGTTGTAACTCCCACCACATGTTTCACTCTACTGTCTTGTATACCAGACACCTGTAGACACATTTTCGAGGGCTGCGTACAAGTTGCAAAAGCAAATTAAAACAATTTTGTGTTGAAATGGCCCAAAGATGAACAGAAGACCCCACGTTGACATTTGTTGAATTGTATCGAGGGGAAGAATGCGTCTGGATTCGAAACTACAACAGAACAAGAATAGAGAATAGAGTATAGCTCTTCACCCTACACGTTCAATTACTGTTTAATCATTTTGTTCATAAAATGTTTAAAATTCCGTCGCCCCTTCGACATTTTTGGATTATAGCACATGCTTTTCTACTTACTGTTATGCAAGTACCAGAAGGCTGGGCAAACACTACTATCTTCTAAAGCATTCGCTTCTTGCACTCGGTGCTAGTGACTCGTACGAGTTACCGGCACCATGTAAATTCGCCTGAAGGCCTCCATACTTTCTCCCAAGCACTGTCGCGCATGCTCGAGTTGGGTAGAATTCATGGTCACAGTACAGGGCGCACATTCCTCATCTGACTCGTTACAGTACCACTCATCTATTTTATTTAGATTTAGTATTTTGTATGTGTCATTGATTTGAGTACATATGTGAAATTAATAGTTATTATCTTAATTATGGTACAAACAAACTGAATTGACTTTACCTTTTTGCAGTCAAAGGAATCAATTAACGTATTTAGGAAAAGTAATTGATTTCATTGCTTTCTCTGACGAATGATGGAATGTTACTATTTTCGTACAAATGAGCGGTATTCTTTTTTAATCCTACCGATTTTATTTATTTTTATCATGCGATCTGTAGTTTATGAGCCAGTTACTTAAAAGTACGGTTTATGAGAAAGCGAATTTGAATGTAGCAGGTATATAAGCTTAAATTCGCTGTTTGCTCATAGATTGCGTTAGTGAGCATATTAAGTTACTACTGACACGCCATACTTTTCTTTTGTATGAGTTTGACATCTGTCAACAATAATCAGTGCACATCATCAGCAATTTCATACAACTACATTTTTTCCTTTGGTAATCGCATCTAGTTTTTTGACAGAAAAAGAGCATATGCGGGAAGCTCTGCTTTTTGCTTCAATTTGAAGAAATCGGCAGCCGAATCGCATCGAATGCTTGTGGAGGCCTAAAGCGACAGTGCTTTATCGGAAACAACATGCATAGATTGGTTTCTTCGGTTCAAAGACGACAATTTTGACCTGAGCGACAAGAAGCG